ATTCACTCAGGGATGGCAAAGTCCATCTACCTCATTCATGCACAGCATCAGGAGCAGTTTGGGGTCCACACTTCTCCTCCCAATGTTTCACACCAGTGATACAAGTACCATAGTTTGAGAACCAATGCTCTATATCATAAACATTATAGAATTGATTTATTTACCTTGAATACTAACTTGATATAATTTAAAATTATTGATAAAATTACTTAGAAACTGTCAGTGTCCTCCTCATTGATGAAATCTGGAAATGTACTCTTAATGTGACAAATTCAGTATGTTATTATTACCCTGATTTCAAGAAAAATTAGGTCCTCATGAATGTAAATTAATATTTAAACTTTTTTTTTTCTTACTCCACTTCCTGTTTTGTCTTTCTGCCATGCTGGTCTTGCCTTCCTTACTTCACCTGGCAAAACTTGACATGTATTAGTTAATTAGGGTCTACTTAGTCGGTGTGCCAAAGTCAAATTTTAGAACAGCACTATTTCATTTGGACCAATAAACATTGGATGTGCTGGGTTTATACATAGAATAGAATACATAGAGAAAAGAAGCATTTAAAGAAAATAGTTGCCAAAATATGCCAAAACACAGAGTAGTAGACAGATTTATAAAGTCTTTGCACTAAGCTGACATTATCTAAAAAGTTAGCTAGCGTGCAGTGTCTCCTCCCAAATACACAAACACCAGCTCTGAAATAATTAGTCTGCCCTTTCAGCCTTCTTACCACTGCTAATGAAGCCTTCCAGTAAAGGTAATTTAACAAGCATGGATGCATTCTTATTAACCCTACAAACCCCTCTGCCCACACCAGGCTGGCTCCATGAACTAGCCAAACGCTTGGGAACGCCATACTTCCTGGCACCGCTGACCTCCCTGCTGGGAGTCTCTGATTCGCCTCAAGGCACCATGACAGCCGGCCTGACCAACTTCAGCCAGTGGAATGGCACAGGGCTGGAGACACTAAATGGAGCGGGTTTGCTGGGTTCAGGCCAATGGAACGGCAGCAGGACCAGAGCGAGGACCCCGAACGGCTCGGGGACAACACTGAGCGGCGGTCCGTCTGTCAGGAGCTCCTATGTGACATCGCTGTATTTTGCTCTGAGCAGTCTGACCAGTGTGGGCTTTGGCAACGTTTCAGCCAACACAGACTCTGAGAAGATTTTCTCCATATGCACCATGCTGATTGGAGGTGGGCAAAAGCTACCAATACACCCATGCTAATGAGTATGAGTGATGAGTGAATGAGTAATATGCAGTGCTAAATAACAAGGCCCTTTACTTTTGCTAATTAGCACTTAACACAATGTACAGTTGTGAGGATGGGATTGTCATATAATTTTTGGGTATTTGGTCATAAACCAAAGTTTTAGACAAATTTACAATTTCTGCCAATTAACTTAGTAGATGATGGGATATTTCACTGGATAATTAGAAACTTTATAACCTTTGTTGAGATAATTAAATCTGGACCAAAATGGTGGATTGGCTGACGAACTGACCGACATTGCCATTAGAGCCATTTCAGAGTTTATTTCAGAACTTGTTCCATTTCCATTAAGAACATTAACTCTTTTTTTAAAAAGGCTAAAACCACCTAAAAACCCTTAAAACTGAAAGTTTTTTCAAAGTTTTCATCAAGCTTTTGTAATCTGCATAAAAATACACTGATGGAAACACATCTATTGACAGGTCATGACAAACAAGCTATATGTGATTCGACTTTAAATGCATGGATGTGGCACAAAATCTGACATAACCGTAAACGGCCCTTTTTATAAAGACATTGTATGGCTGAAATCTTGTACTGAGATAAGCTTTTCTGGTGTTTTTGTCTGTCTCATCCATAGCACTAATGCATGCTGTGGTGTTTGGTAACGTGACCGCCATCATCCAGAGGATGTACTCCCGGCGCTCCCTCTACCACACCCGCACCAAGGACCTGAAGGATTTCATCCGAGTGCACAGGCTCCCAAAGGCCCTTGAGCAACGCATGATGGAATGTTTTCAGACAACCTGGTCTGTCAACAACGGTATCGACGTCAGTGAGGTAGGAAGAATTACTGATTAAGGTCCAGTGCGTGTATCATTTAGTAGGATATATAATGTTTTTGGATTATTGTTCCCCTAAAATTAGCAGACAGAGGGAGTGGGTCCTCTTCTACGGAATAAAACCACCATGTTTGTTTGTAATAGTCTAGAATGGACAAACCAAACAATGGCTCTAGATTGGGCCTTTCGCGTTTTTGGCGAGCTTTGTCGCCATCGTAGTTTGTCCTACATTCTTGGTTGAGTCAGGGGTTTTCAGTTGGTTGCAATCTGCAGTTTCACCACTGGATGTGACTAAATCCTACACACTGGTCTTTTAACTGATTAAAGGTTGTTGCCACAAGACAATGTGATCATAATGAACTGTGTGAACGTGAAGCACTGTTTTTAGAAAGAATTTCCAGCCTTTGTGCTAAGCTAGGCTAAACATATCCTTGACCATCAAACTGAGTGTAGAATATCAATGTTATGTAACTCTAGAAAGCAAACAATCATATTTCTGACAATATCCGACTGTTCCATTAACTTTCCAACCTGGGTATATGACCTCTGTGGCTTTGATTGTCAGTTACAATGAGATCAACTGGACTTCTAAAATTGAAAGTGCAAATCCAGTTACTTGCCCTCCAAAGTAGCGACTGAAAGTCATTGAGAGGATTTGGGTTTTGTTTTGAGTTCCATCACGCTGGGGCAGCTATCTTAATTTCATGGATTAATAACCTCATAGACACTAAAGTCACTCTTGGTGTGTTTTACCATGGCTTCAAATCTAGATAATCCTTTTTAAAGAGATAACATGATGGTGGACAGGCGCTAATACTCTAAGGTAATAACCCACATCTTTCCCTTGCAGAAATTTTTGCTTTTCATTTCATACAGTGGGAATTCACCCCACAAAATGAAAATAAATTTCATCCAGAAACTGTTTGCTGGTCATGCATGTATCAGTTGTTTGTGACTATGTGGGAAGGTGAAAGGTTTTATTTTGCCTGTTAGCGCCACCTTCCCACACAGTAACATTCAAATGATGACACACAAAGGAAATAAGCCGCTAAAGCAAAGAGAAAGATATGGATTCATCCATTGTTTGCAGTCATAGAAACCAAATTGAGCTTTGTGTGGCTCTGTTTCAATGCTGAGATCAAGGTTTTCTTTCTCATTGCCTCCACAGCTGCTGAAGGACTTCCCAGACGAGCTGAGGGCTGACATCGCCATGCACCTGAACAAAGAGCTGCTAGAGCTGCCGCTCTTTGAATCAGCCAGCAGGGGGTGTTTGCGCTCCCTCTCCCTCATCATCAAGACCTCCTTCTCCGCTCCGGGAGAGTTCCTCATCCGCCAGGGCGACGCCCTCCAGGCTATCTACTTTGTATGCTCAGGCTCCATGGAAGTACTGAAGGACAACACTGTGCTGGCCATTTTGGGTAAATAAAAATAGGTATACGGTACGGATAATGTACTTTTTACGAACAAAAAATATGTCAGTGTCTGTTTTTTATATAGCATATAGCAATTTCTACAAAAAAAACTGGTTCTGTAAATAGTTCCCCTTACTAATGAGACCAAACATTACTTTGAAGCTCAATTTTGAGGATGTTCTATTAATAGTTTTCTAATTTATAAAGCAACTCCTGATCAACCCATATCATTTTTAGGCTTAAATGAACAACTTCTGGTTGGTCCCGCCCCCTCTGATCTAAGCCAAGCCCATTCCGAGTACAGATACAAATACAGATCATTTAGTTGGTTGAACAGATACAGATAATTGTGTACTGGCTCATCCTTACATTAAAGTATCAATATTATTTCCCACATTTACATTCTGATTGTAAGATGAATGAAAGATTTTAAGCAAAGGCCCAAAAATCAGCAATTAGCTGTAATATAAACAATAAGTGAAAAGAATATGCTGATACATTGACATATTAAATAATATAATATATAAAAATACACACCCTATATCACAGCACATGTCAATGAGGTTCAGTACCATGGACAGCACCCATTCCCACAATGGGGTACAACAGGAGGGCTAGCTCCATCTATCCCTCCATTTACCATCCTAACTTATTCATTCCTGCTTTAGAGAGACCTGCTAAGAACCAGGTTGAAGAAGCAGGTAAGTACATCCCTAAGGGATAAGTACATGCTCCTAAGGGACATACATTTGTGAGTTTGGGGCTTTGGGTCAAGCCTCCTGCTGGGTATGCAGTCTGAGTCGTTTTGCTACCTGAATCTTGAAGGGCTTCTCTGTCTTGGACTCCAAACCATAGAAGCCCTCCTAGATTTTGGCTGCAAAGTGACTCAAAAAACGGCATCTACTTCCAGCAAGAAGAAGAGGGCATATACACGTATACAAATCAAGCTACGTCACAGCCATTCCCAAAGTAAGGGGTGCCAGATATCTCTGTCAATGCCATGGGCATTTTGAGGCCTCTTTTAAAATCCATCCAGGTACTTTATGAAAATATTTTTAAAGGTCTAGTGTGTAGGATTTAATGGCATCTAGGGATATAGCTGCAGATCACAACTCCCTCGCTTCACCTTTCCGTTTCCAAGTACAAAGGAGAAAATACGGTGGCCACAAAACAGGACCTTACACACTGGAGGAGGTTCCTGCCAAGGAAATTTTTTAAGTAAAGCAGTTCCAAAAACCTCAGAGTATATGTGTATAACATAGAGTTATGTGACTGAACATGAATGTATCTTAAAATCAGTTGGAAAATCAACTGGCAGCCAGAGTAAGCAGCAGAGCAGCTGAAGGATACAAGACTTGTCCTCTTTGGTCTATTTTGGAGTCAGCCTTATGAGCATTAGATGAGAAGGGGCTTTTACCACTGAGAAAGTTATTAGATATCCAGCATTAAATAACCAGCCAGCCAGCTTTTATGAAGAAGAACATAATGAACACGAGCAGCCTAGTGATTATCTTCATATTAAACTGGCCATGTGGGAAAACAATTGACAGTTGAAAGATGAAGTATGACCTAGAGAATGATTGGATATTTTAGGGAGCACTCAGAAGCCCCACACAAAATCCATTCTGCCACTTAAGAGCACATGTGATCACCTTATACAGTTGTTATGGCTAATAAGTTACCATTTACACATGCAGCAGACATAGAGCAACAGTAGCATTTATTTGAAGTTGTGTTTCTGCCCTCCTGATGAATGTAAGTCCAATATTTACTCAAACTTATGCTTTGTTTTGGTTTCCACCAGCTCCTTTAACTGCTAAATGCTCCACTATGTTCACCAGCTAGTTGCTATTGTTGTTTGTCTGCTGGGCTGGACAGGTAGCATATAATGGGTTTACCCAAGCTTTCTCGCTTAATCAACCTCAGGCAGCTGGAGGTTGATGAGAAAAACAAGGAGCTAAAAAGACTTATAATATATATAATATAATATAATATAATATAAATAATTAAAATTATATAATAATAACACCTTTTACATCACACGGTTATTTGGTCCCTATTTCATTTTCTGTTGTTTTTATACCATTAATAATTAAATAATCTCATAATACTCAAGTTACCTACAGCAAACCATCATAAAGGCGGACATGATGAACAAACAGGAAAAGTCCATGCAACAACGAAAAAGGTCCACAAAACTGCATTAATACAATGCAGAATTAACAATATATGACACGCCTCCAATAGGTGAGCTGATGCAGCTAGAGCCAGAAACTTGCCTCAGTGTCCTTCCTCCAGAATGAGAGCCCCTCCAGAGCCTTGTCCTACAACACATACACTGGCACGTCTTCGATTCTGCATAACACGGATGAAACAGAATAGAGAAACACAAACAGCACTGGAATCAGTTCAGGTCCATATAAAGCAGAGGCAGCAAATTGGCAACACTGTTTTTCATATTAATGATCTAACTGCTGTAAATAATGAAGCGACTGCATGCTGCCTATAGAGGGAAGAGGGTTAAAAACTCATTAGCATGTTGTACGAGCTGCATATGTACATGCACATCCATGGGGATATTTCTTTTTACAATCTTTCCTAGCTGCTCTCTGTTCCTCTCTTCCTCTCTCACACACACACACCGAAATACACAGACACAGACACACTCAAATTGTTTTGGCATTGCCACTTTGGATTTACAGCTCTGGAGAAGGCAGCGAGGTAGAGAGAGGAATCTGTGTCCTATGGTGTGTACTATAACACTACCATAAAATAGTCCCTCCAAAGGGTCACAGCATAAATCTGAGGGGTCCACTCCACCCCTCCCTGCCATAGACCCAGTTTGTCTTTTTTAGGGGGGGCAGGGGATCTTTAGGGAGAGATAGTAGGTCAGCAGTATATGCCACATAGAAGTGGTATACATCATCTGAAATCTGGTAACCTAGAACCTAAAAGATTGATTTGAGATGCACCTCAGTTTTTTTCCTTGCCAAAATGTAGCTTTGAAGCATTATTTAGCCCTATTCTCAACAAGTTAGCATGACGTGAAAAAAGGATGCCTTAGGTCTGCTAGTTTCATATGATAACCGTATCTTCACTCTAACGTAGCTTGCTACAGCCTCTGAAAGACAGTAGGCTAATGGGAGCGGAAATAAGAAAAAACAACGTTCTTTTAGGTCTTTGAGTTACTAAGTGATCCATAATTCTGCAATAACGCAAACTGTTATTTAAATGAAATCATGTGAGAGCTTTAGAGGGGACACATCTCTTTGGTGGAATTGCTAACAACTCATCTAATTCCATTATGACAAGGGTCAACTAAATGTTTTTTTTTACAAGTCAGAAAGGTTGCAAACCACTGATTTTATTTTTTAAAATGCAGTGTCTTAAACTTATTGTGTGATGCCCCCCCCCCCAAAATAGATATGTCCCTATGAATTGTAGTAGAGTAGAAGTATAAAGGGAAAAAAGTCAAGTACAAGTACCTCAAAATTGTACATAAGTACTGTGCTTTAGTAAATATACTAAAAGTAACCATAACAACAGCACACTAACAGTTAAAGCTACTGATCAACCAAAGACAGTAGCTGCTTTAGCTAAAATAAGTTTAAAATACTACACAATACTTGGTTTGGTTTCTTTTGAGAGTCAATCATGATAATGCACTCTGTGTTATAGCGATATAGAAAATATTGCACTCAGGTAAAGGGTTAAGGATGTTAAACCAAGTATGGCGATCTGGATTTTTTAATGAAAAGTTTAATGAAAAGTGTTCTGAGTGGCCTCAGACACAGTCTTTACTCGCAGCCCCAACTACAGCCCCACCTGTATCTTCACTTTCCAGGTCGGGGCGATCTGATTGGCTCTGATTGTCTGACCCAGGAGGAAGTGATTAAGACCAACGCCTGTGTGAAGGCCTTGACCTACTGTGACCTGCAATACATCAGCCTCAAAGGACTCCGTGAGGTGCTCTGTCTCTATCCCGACTACGCCCAGAAGTTCATCACTGAGATCCAGCATGATCTAACGTACAACCTGCGGGAAGGGCACAACACTGAGGTACGATATTGGCTGATGTTTTTCTCTCCACTTTACATTGTTGCTTTTGTCATTTCTCAATAGTCCTCAATAAGGTAAGCGTTACTGATGAATAAATACGTATAAGGTGTTGCATTGTCCATCCATTTCCTGGCTCTGGCTCTGGGTTGCAGTGACAGCAGGCTTAACAAAATAGCCCAGACATCCTTCTTCCCAACCACACCATCCAGCTCCTCCTCCTCCTCCACCTCCAAGATGGAATTATGTAATATCTCCAGCATATTCTGGGTCCGTTCAGGGATCTTCTCCCAGTTGCACATGCTCTGAGGCATCCTGATTAGATGCCCGAACAACCTCAATATGCTCTTTTTAACAAGAAGGACCATATGGATGTCTGAGCTCTACTCT